TTAGAGAGAGAGAGAGAGAGAGAGAGAGAGAGAGAGACGGGGGGGGGGGTGATGAGGGGGAACAAAACGAGAATGGAATTGTTAATATTTGCAACGTCTTCCATCTCAGGAGGAACATAATTTGCAAATACATTTTATGAAACGATCTTCTTCTCTTCATTACATGTTTAACAAACTGCCGCCTGCATGAGCACGACGGGATGTCCAAAAACATCTCATCAATTAGCAAGGCCTTGGGCTTGGTATCATTTCAAAGATACGGTGTCTCTTTTCTTGGCACGAGATATCGTGATGACATTATGCCATATTAAAGTATCTTCTACCGGAGCTAATTGACGTTAATGACCGGTGAAGGTATGTCGAATATATAAGAGGGTATGCATAGGACTATATACAGCTGTATAAGATTAAGTTCAGCCTCAGGCGGAATGACAGTGTCACCCATTATAACTAATTAATCCTTTTGAAATTTTTTTAATTTCATCATTAAGCACTGTATTTCATTTGCTACAACTATGATTACTATCAGTGATCGTTTGTTATTTTGCCTGACTGATGCATGGAAGGATGGTGTGGTACAGCATGGGCAGGGAGAGTTGCTTCACAATAATTGAAGTGTGTTTCTATATATATGGAGCCCCCCCCCCCTCCCCAATCATGAAGAGTGTTCCACGCCCCCATGCCAATATTATAGATTTTCTTACCATTTGGTATTTGAAAATGAAAGGGGATTAACAAACAGTTTAGCCTCAATATTAATTGGGCACGCATATTACGAGAGAAAACGGGGGTGGGGGGGGGGGGGGATATCATAATTTTAGGGGGCGAGTCCAAATGTCAATAAGTATGAGCGAAAGATCATATTCCATCCTCATATACCATCATTTAGGGGGAGGGGTTCTATGTCTCTGTTTCTTTTTGTTTCACCTCCTTCTCTCTCCTTCTCCCTCTCTTCCTGTATGCTGGCTGTCTGTCTCAATCTCTTTTCTCCGCCTGCCTCATCCCCCTCCAATCCTCCATCCTCTCTCTCTCTCTCTCTCTCTCTCTCTCTCTCTCTCTCTCTCTCTCTCTTTCTCTCTCTCTCTCTCTCTGATAGACAATCTAAAGTAGGAGTGGTATAATCAGCGTGAACCTGAATGGTGACTGAAAGTGGAGATTGTTTTGTCGGGAGCACCAATTGAACTCATGCATCATACGTGATTAACCCTTTGACCCCGCCTAACATGGAAATCACATGCCTATTGTCTAGCAATATACTGACAAAATGAATGGAGACAATTCTATGGAATGGCATCCAACCTTAGATATCTATAGGCATTATATTTATCATGTACATGTATATGTACCTTTTTTGGTGGTGGTTTATTTATTCGTTTTTATGATTGTTTATTTGTGTTTGTTTTGTTCTGATACTTCTGTAATTCTGTTATTATTTTTCATTCAACATTGTAGGCTAAAGATGTACACTTCCCACTCCGTGGAAAGATAAGATAATTTTGCTTGATGTATTTAAATAATGTCAATCCACGAGTGACTTCTGACTATGGTATATTAGGCCTATGTAGCAGTCAGAGTCTTTGCATAAACTACAATAAGAAGCGGCTGCTTAAACGTTGTGTTAAATTCTTTAAAGATGAGGGAAATGGCCCGGTACATTTTTGCGCCCTTGAACCTCATGTGGCCTTAGCTTATTTGAATGTGACTCTAAATAATTCACCTCCATCATAGTACGTCTGATTTAATTTCATTTTGAATGTATCCCTCTAAGCCGCAGTAGGTATTATCCACCTGTTTCAGATTTTCCCTCGTTTGCATTCAACTCGACCTTAAATGACCCCGGGTCAGACGAAATCGACATGATCTCAAATGGCATTATGATGGATGGATCTGTTTGCGATTATAAATTTCCTCGTTGATATTGAAATGCAAGACGATTGTCACGCAGAGAAATAGGAGCACGTTGCGAGGAAGATAGGGAGAGAGATAACGAAGAGGAATAGTGAAAGAGAATGGGATGATGATTGTGAATATCACTATAAGCCAAGGGCGGTTCACACTATGAACATGACTGACAAAGAAAGCGGACAAAATATACAGTTCCTCAGGTAGACTAAGGAACATTCCTTCACTGCTATTATGTAAAAATGTGTAGAACGGGTGTCACGTGCATATTCACCTCTTTACATAAAAGCAGTGAAAGGATGTTCCTTTGTCTACCTGACGAACTGTATATTTTGTCCGCTTTCTTTGTCCGTCATATTCATATAGTGTCAACAGTTAATTTGCCATTGTTTGTTAACAAATCTCATTGACAGATTATAATTTAGTTTAGTACTGACCAAGTTACTTATAGTAATACATTGCATGAGAATGATAAATTGAAGGACTATTAATGCAAAGATTCAATTTTAATTTGGAAATGCGCTGACATTCTTTTATTATTTTCTAATCAAATTTCTCAATTATGCAGTATGTGGTATAAAGAAAGATAAATGTTGCGAACAACCAGACTGAAAAGTCTAAATACATAGTGTAATATACCTGGATACACAACGAGATCATTTATGTTTTCATTTAGTCAGTGGAAGCGATATTGAAGAGCTTTAAGGAAGATTGGGATTATGAAATTCGCAAGGATTATCTGGAGCAGGTGTACGATAGGAAAAGGATCGATATGTTACGATTCGCGACCATGTTTGTCATTATAATTATGGCTGGAAGCACTCGTGCAAGGCATTCCGCTTTCTTTCTTTAGCCGAGAAAAATAGTTTAAAATAACTGTAACAAAATTATTATGTATGCTCACAAATCGCCTTAAAACTAGGATAGCTTTCTTAGCGCAGAGAGGAGCTATTGTGTCTACCCCTAATACCCTTCTGAAATGTAATGCAGACGTTAATATTTTCTGGCCTACTTGTCCGTTTTCCAATTTAAGTTCAAATAATCCTGCGTCTTCTCTCTGATACGATTGCGTGCGAGTAATTAAAACATCGTATTTCCCATTGCCGTACATTATCTGAATTAAAAAAAGATATGAAATTTGAGAAAGTTGAACTTTGAAGTAATTTTATCAAAACGAAAGAATTTCGTTTTCACAATAATGATATCTCTGTGACATGTACAATTACATGTCACAGAAAATTATGAGAAAACTGAATTTGAAAGAATATGCCGTTATCCATTGTCGATTTCATCTTGTAAATTTGTCCCGAATGATTATATTCCAAAAGCAGTAAAGCTAAATAATCCCATTAATTGTAATTCCTAAAACAAATTCCATACCCTGTGATTTACAACCCTAATACAAGTCTGTGTAGGAGAATTTCCTCTGTGCCAGTACCCCCTCAATCATGATAATGATTACGACTAATTCCAGTGCGAGTACTCTACCAATTACCGCGATACAGATTCGTGTCCAGTTTGTCCAAACGACTTATGGGACTTGAGCCTCTCAGAAGGGATGGTTTTAACTATTGCAAAGGGTGTCTCATCTGTGCTATCTCTTCGGTCGCAAATTATCCTCCTCCTCTTCCCTTTCTCTTTCCTTCCTTTTCTGCGCTCCCTTCTTTTTCTCCCCCTCGCCCCCTTCTCGCTTCCTCTTCCTCCTCCTCCTCCTCATTCTCCCCCTCCTCCTCCTCCTCCCCTCCTCCTCCACCTCCTCCTCCTTCTTCCCCTCCTCTTCCTCTTCTTCCTCCTCCTTCTCCCCCTCCTCCTCCTCTTCTTCCTCCTCCTCCTCCCCTCCTCCTCCCCCTCCCCCTCCTCCTCTTCTTCCTCCTCCTCCACCACCTCCTCCTCCTCCCCCTCCTCCTCCTCCTCCTCCTCAGTTACTCTTTTCATGTTGACCTCAATATTGGTTCTAGAGGGGGTTGTGGGTCAAGCCCCCCCCCCCCCCAATAAAAAAAGTATGTATAGAACTGCTCCCGGCTGTTTAACTTATGTTCATAATAATATATTCAGAATGTTCTGTCATAACCGTCTACGCCTGTAGCCTATCATGATGATAGATGAATATGTAAGAGGCGATATGCCTTCTCACTTTCTTCTTCCTCTCCAATCCTCATCATCTCATATCCTAAAAATAGCTGGTTATTATCCTCCTTCTTTACATCAAACCATTGCGACGGTAACTGCATGGATCAGTTTTCCACCTCCCTTGTTTACTCCATACCTTTCATAATTTGCCTAGTAAATTGAAACCTGTGAGGCGATGATGATTATCATTATTGATTATTGCCATCTCGGCTATGCTCTCCATTCCTTTGAGATAGAAAAGCAAAGCCTTCATCATACATTACTGTTGCCCATTTTCGCACGATTCTATATTGAGAAAAATCGTCTCACTCTCTTTTAACGCTTGTAGTTTCTACCCTCAAGACTCGAACACAGGGGCATGGCGGGATAATTCGGGACTATGATATAGTAATATCAGAAAATCAACGAGTTTCTTATTTTAAACCGGCCCTAAATCATTGTGATCTACACTTGATGTATCTTCTTATTGTCTAGGTTGGGCTTCACAATTATAAAGCAATGATACTAGAATTACGATGATGCTAGAAATTTAGTTTCTCAATCAAATTATGCAATCAAATAAGAATCAGGCCATGAATGTTTACTTCTTTTAATAGAGTATATTAAAATTGTTCGCTTTGTTTGTATTGGTTTATGTACTTCTTAGAATATTTGGTTTCATGATCTTGCTCACATTTTAGATTTTGTATCTTTCTTCCACAGGATTCCTCTGGCAGTTCTTCCTACTAGAGTTAGCATGTAAGGGGCTCTCTTGATGATACTGAACATAAGTTTGTCATCATAATGTGGTCCAAATGAAAACAAGATGTTGAACAAAATTTACTCTCGTATAAAAGATAGATCAAGCAAGTCGCAGATTATTTGTGTAGTGATATATTTTGAAAAAAGTGTTATTCCAAGAAATCCTTTCAGAAATTGAAGATGTGTCTTAATTCTCATGGATTACCACCGCCAATCCCATACCCGAGTCACACCGCCAAATCGGTCCAGTGTCGGTCTGCTGTCGGTCTAATGTCGGTCTGTTGCCAGTCTGATGTCGGTCTGCTGTCGTCTGCTGTCGGCCTGCTGTCCTTCTGATGTCGCACTGCTGTGGGGCTGATGTCGGTCTGTTGTCGGCCTGCTGTCCTTCTGATGTCGCTCTGCTGTCGTTCTGCTGTCGTCTGCTTTCGGCCTGCTTTCCTTCTGATGTCGCTCTGTTGTCGGTCTGCTGTCAGTCTGCTGTCCTTCTGATGTCGTTCTGCTGTCGGTCTGCTGTCAGTCTGATGTCGGTCTGCTGTCGGTCTGGCGTCGGTCTGCTGCCGTCTGGTGTCAGCTTACTGTCGGTCTGCTGTCGGTCTGATGTCGCTCTGCTGTCAGTCTGATGTCGCTCTGCTGTCGGGCTGATGTCGGCCTGCTGTCCTTCTGATGTCGCTCTGCTGTCGTTCTGCTGTCGTCTGCTTTCGGCCTGCTTTCCTTCTGATGTCGCTCTGTTGTCGGTCTGCTGTCAGTCTGCTGTCCTTCTGATGTCGTTCTGCTGTCGGTCTGCTGTCAGTCTGCTGTCGGTCTGCTGTCGTCTGCTTTCGGCCTGCTTTCCTTCTGATGTCGCTCTGTTGTCGGTCTGCTGTCGTCTGCTTTCGGCCTGCTTTCCTTCTGATGTCGCTCTGCTGTCGGTCTGCTGTCCTGATGTCGCTCTGCTGTCGTTCTGCTGTCGTCTGCTTTCGGCCTGCTTTCCTTCTGATGTCGCTCTGTTGTCGGTCTGCTGTCAGTCTGCTGTCCTTCTGATGTCGTTCTGCTGTCCTTCTGATGTCGCTCTGCTGTCGTTCTGCTGTCGTCTGCTTTCGGCCTGCTTTCCTTCTGATGTCGCTCTGTTGTAGGTCTGCTGTCAGTCTGCTGTCCTTCTGATGTTGTTCTGCTGTCGGTCTGCTGTCAGTCTGCTGTCGGTCTGCTGTCGGTCTGGCGTCGGTCTGCTGCCGTCTGGTGTCAGCTTGCTGTCGGTCTGCTGTCGGTCTGATGTCGGTCTGCTGTCAGTCTGATGTCGGTCTGCTGTCGTCTGCTGTCGGTCTGCTGTCGGTCTGATGTCGGTCTGCTGTTAGTCTGATGTCGGTCTGCTGTCGTCTGCTGTCGGCCTGCTGTCCTTCTGATGTCGCTCTGCTGTCGGTCTGCTGTCGTCTGCTTTCGGCCTGCTGTCCTTCTGATGTCGCTCTGTTGTCGGTCTGCTGTCAGTCTGCTGTCCTTCTGATGTCGTTCTGCTGTCGGTCTGCTGTCAGTCTGCTGTCGGTCTGCTGTCGTCTGCTGTCGGCCGCTGTCCTTTCGATGTCGGTCTGCTGTCGGGCTGCTGTCGGTCTGCTGCCGTCTAGTTGTCAGCTTGCTGTCGGTCTGCTGTCGGTCTGGCGTCGGTCTGCTGCCGTCTGGTGTCAGCTTGCTGTCGGTCTGATATCGGTCTGCTGTCCGTCTGATGTCGGTCTGCTATCAGTCTGCAGTCCGGCTGCTGTTGGTCCGCTGTCGTCTACTGTCGGTCTGCTGTCAGTCTAATGTCGGTTTGGTATTGGTCTGCTGTCGTCTGTTGTCGATCCTCTGTCAGTCTGATGTCGGTCTGGTATCGGTTTGCTGTCAGTCTGCCGTCGGTCTGATGTCGTACTGCTGTAGGTCTGGTGTCGGTCTGGTGTCTGTCTCGTCGGTGTGACTGAGGTATTAGTGATCTCCCATCATCCATCTCTGGTTCACATAGATGCATGGCAGAATGCATTCATGATCCCCTAAGCAGAAAAGATTCTACCGGCTTTCTTTCGTTGGAAATTTTCACTTAGTGAAATCTGGGGGAGGAGGTGGAGTCACTGGAGTGTATGGAGATTCTTGGTCAACCCATTGCCTACGTGACTCGGTGGTGTCTTTCTAATTCCTACAGTTTTCGTTTTATATTCCACTTCATCCTTTCCTTCTTCAGTCTCTCTAAAGACTTTAAAGACAACGTCAGAATTTCGGTGATATCAGTCTACTAATACGTTCATGCCTTATAATAATTATTATGAGCTGCATGCCTTATTTCAATGGTTTTCAACTTTTGAGGTGGAAACAAAATCACATTATTATTACGTTTCAAAACCAATATCTATGAGATATAATAGCAGACATTGCAATATGTCATCATGGCATGAAAATGCTGTTTGAGTGTCAAAAAAATTCACATTATAGTCTGTACAAACTCGAGGTTCAATTCCACCATCGCAAGCTTTGCAAACTTGTTGTCGTTGCTTTATTTGTAATGTTTTCTTTTAGGCAACGACAGCTCACCGAGAATAAGTGCTAAAAATAAATAAATAATAGATAATAAATGCATTCGTCTACCAGAACGAGCTTTGATTGAAGTAAAATTACAATTACGAAGGAATCGGTGTATTTCCAGGTTTATGTCGGGTAGTCTGCTGTGATTGCCTTCTTTCAATACTCTTCCACAGTGACTGTATCTAGGTCTTCTGGGACATCCAGATTCTACTCATGTAGACACGTTTTTGTACCTCTCAGCTTAAAATATGAGCTCTCCTCCAAAATATATACTGATTTGTAATCTTGTCGACACCTTGCTTCTCGTAAACTAATTTCCCAGCGCTTCGTGTAAATTTGCGTGGTAACCAAACACGATTTAGGATCTTACATTACGCAGTTTAGCATGTCCTGATATGATTGTCAGCAATGTGTTGACGCAGAGAAGGGGTGAGTTTCCAATTAATTTCAAAGAAGGAATATCCTAGGCATATTTACATTTCATTCAACTGAGATGTTTAAAATTTAGATATCACGCGTCAACATAATGAAGATAGTGCAGAGAGGCTGTCTTTGGTAACCCAGTTGCAACATTTTCTTTTTATCACTTTCTTTCGATCTTTCTTCTTGTTTCCTTTTCACGCTTTTCTTGGAGGGTGAAAGCAGAAATAGAAAAGCGGATATCTAGGGCCCTGTCTTATAAACAGTTGCGACTAATCGTAACTCATTTGCGATTGAAATCAATCGTAGCATATACATAAGAGATAGGTCTCGGAGAGTGCAAACTTGGGATTGATTTGGATCAATTGCAACTGTTTATTAGACGGGGCCCAGATCTGACAGAAGCTTTCCTACCGTACGGTCGCCATGGAAACGAATAGCATATTATTTCGAATAGTTGGTTAAACTATGCACTTTATTATGATCTATTAATTACAACTTCATGTGGTAGTTGTTGGAAACAGACATGTGCAACCAACTCATTGTAAATAAATTTAAGCAAGGGGAATAATAGTCCTACATGGAAACACCATGAAACTTCTTTGGCAAACGAAACGATGTATGTGATGATGTTCGATTTTGTTATAGTCTGATTCCCATTAATTACAATTCAAGTATAGTACATTCCAATATTCATTTAATATACTTAATTCAAAAAAATCTGAGCTAAGGAGGAAAAGATCTTTGTAAATTACGGAGCGGTATTAAAAACTATGGTAACAATTATGACCAAGGCCTTTAAATAGTCATCGGTTTGGTGCACTGATTCACATAATTATGTGGGCTTGGTTGATGCTGTGTTTATACCAAGCCCTGGGCATGGGAGCGGTGTGTTGACCTTTGACCTCAAGATAGATGACCTCTCTTAACCTCCTTCCTATAACAACTCGGCCTCGATCTTGACAGTATGTAGGATTACTGACACGAGTATGGTGTTACACCATCGTGGAAATACAAATCGTCTCCTGTTACAACGTGTGGAAAGGTACATGCTCACAGGCACAGTCAAAACAGAAACTGGGAAAATTGAGAGAAAGATATATAGAGGGAGAGAGAGAGAGAGAGAGAGAGAGAGAGAGAGAGAGAGAAAAGACATGTGATAGAGAGGGAGATTGAGAGAGAGAAAGACAGAGAGAGAGAGCGCGCGAGTTGATAAGTGCTATGTGAAAACAGTAGCTTTTGAAGTACTGTTTAATATGTAAATAGGTGAACGTATAAAATTGAAGATAATTATAAGGATGCGAGGACAAACTGTAGGAAAGAGTGGCCATGTCTATCTTGTAGACACAGTTCTTGCCATTTTACACGTTGGGCATCGCTATTTAAAGTTTCATGGAAGTTTCTGATAATTTTGCCGACTGTAATCGAAACTTGTTCGGATACAAGAAAAGGGGCAAAATATCTATGATGAAATAAAACAATAAATTTGGGGGAAAAGGAGGCCAGAAATATTAAATTTAAGAAGTTCGGGTGTCGACCCCCGACCCCCGACCCCCCCCCCCCGGACCCCTCATCCGCTAGCGGAGCTCTGTCTCTGATTATGTAAATCGTGTACATTATACGTATAGAATGATTCAAACTAGGCGCATTTTTTAAATTCATTTTTGCCAATCAAGTGCAAAAGAAAATGTGACTGGTTCCTAATGAAGAGAACGATGGGTGTTTAATCCCAACGTGTCTGAGTGTGTTAGACTAGACACATGACCCGAAACAGGTCACGACTTTTGCACAGACTTATCTCGCATACTTGAAAGCTTTTAGTTTTGTTTGGATTTAGTATAAACAAGGGCACTGATTTGTTAGGTAGGGCTGCATTAAAATTCAACTAATGCGCAATAATTTTCCATATTTTTCATGGGATGAAAAGACAAAAAGCCCTCGGAATGTGGAAAACATGGATTTTTGGAGGTCAAAGACCAAATTTGTTCCTGTTTCATGATATAGATACTTCGAGAAGAGTTATGAATACTACAATACTTCAATATCACGTGTGAAGTGTTATTATATGCTGTTGCCTATATTTTGTCTGACCCCCTCCTTTCAAAATGATCTTCAGCGACGCTCCTGAAAAGAATGATATAAAATCAATGATGCGTGATAAAATTTTAATTCTACTACCAATATCCCCATCTCTCTCTCTCTCTCTTTCTCTCTCCCTTTCTCTCACTCTCTTGACACCATAATGTTAATCATTTAATTATTAAAATTAGCGAAGCATTATAATTAGCATGAATTTCAGATTGGATGTAGACGCTGATTTTATTATTACATTAGCTCCGAAACCTAAGTTATATCAGAAAATCAGAAGGAAAGATTCACCAAAATATTTCTAGATAGTTCCTGTAGTAAATGAGAAGACCGTTCAGCGGAGATAATACCAGCACTTTACAAAATGCTTCTTAGACATGCTTTATGTCACTCCATTATCATCCCTCAGTGAAGGTTACTAATAGATATCATAATGATCACCCCCCAGAGGCGGATCCAGGAAATTTTTAAAGGAGGAATCCTGAAAAAAAGTATGACAAGAAAAAAGTAGAAAAAAGGTTATCTAACAAAAAGGAAGGGGTCAAATAAATAAGAAAAATCTATGTCAAGCGAAAAAAAAGTGGAAGTCGGACGCCCGTGACCCCCCCCCCCCCCCCCCCCCCACATCTGTCCGACTCAATCCGTCCCCCAACTGTCGCACTATGTTTGAAGTACGTATATTATCATCTGAAAGCTACATTATATACATTCTTCAAAATCATCTTTCGCTATTTCAAGGATGGCATTAGATCATTATCATCCCCAATTTGTACCGTGTATGCTTACGTGACACTGTATAAACGTCGTTGATGCGATTTTTTTTCTTCCCCCTTTAAACCAATTGTTGTATTACCTTCTTGTGAAATTCACCCCCAAAAAGACTAATGCCACATGTGTTTTTCTTCTTTTTAACCCACCTCCTTTCTTTCCTCCTCCTATCCCCCCCCCCTTCTTCTCCCCCAATAGTGCCCACAATGGATCCTACCACTGAGCTGGTAACGGACATCATAGTCAGTGAGGCAGCCACAGGCATGGCGGTGGAGGAGGAGTACGTGGAGGAAATCACCACGCTACCGATGGATGATGAGACGGTTGCCATGACGACAGAAGGTTCATTCACAACATTCACACCAGGTATGTCCAAATGTGTAACATTCTGTTGTGTATGTTTAATTTGGGAGTTTGTAATGAATGATTTGGAAAGACGATAATAATCATTATCATTGCAATAATGTACAGATGTGCTGCTGCCAATTCATAGTGGTATTGTGTTCTCATTTTCTATCGGTCAAGGGGATATTAGATAAGATCAATACTTAGCTTGTTCTCTTTTTGGCTGAAAGACATTCATACACCACAATAATTGAAAAGATTTGTATTCCATATTTAGTTGTAAAAGGATTAAATCAGATAGGGGAAATTAATGTTTGGTAGAATTGATCGAGTGACGCACTCTTTCGTGTATCATGTTAAAATGACATTTATTATCTGGGAGAGGACGCTTCATTTCTAATTCTAAATTCTTAGTTTTTGACATCTAAAAAAATGTGTGTTGCTGCAATGACAGATTTGTGGGAATGTTTCTGGTGGATATTTCATCGTAAACAATGTTATTTTTTTAATTCTTTGATTTTGTTTCCCCTTTTAACTTCCGTAAAATATAAGTCTTAGAGTCAGTTTGTATTTCAACTGTTCAGAAGATCTTATCGAAGTCCCGATGCCAAGTTCATTTTTTTCAAATTTAAGGAATACAGTGTTTTTTAAAGGGGGATAGATATGTGATGGTCATTGAGGTCAGTGGGGCAGTGGTCAGAGGATGGACGTGACATCCGAGGGGGGGGGGGGGCACAAAAAGATTCTTTTCCCAGGTGTGAACTTTGTATGGTCTCTTATGTACCTTGCTAAGATACATTTGACAGGAAGATATATTTTGCGTGTTGCCATGGTTAACTAAGTTTATTTGTTACATCATCTCGAGATTTTAACTTATTATTATACTTTGTATTTGGTAAATTTCGTATAGTATCTGTCTTGTTATGATAATATTGTTCTATCCAGCTAAACTCTCTCAATTCATTTTCTTGAGTATCTTTATCCTCATATTTATTGATGCCATTTTTTTCCTATTCGTTCTTTAGACGAGGAAGAGAAAGGGCCGAGAATTTGGAAATCCGTTACGGTAAAATTTACATTGCCTGATAAATCGCCTACTGATATCGGAGGGCCTCTTAGACTAGAGATTAAAAATGCGGTAAGTGATATCCGCTTTCTCTGTTTTCTTTTTATGTGACGTTACTTTTACTGTTTTCCCAGTTACTGATGTATGCTTTAAATAATAGTCATGCTATAGCCAAGATGTGGCAAATAAAGTTTCGACGAATGTGCGCTTTAATTTCTTCCTCCACATAAAATTCCACACCGAACACAATCATTCTCTTGACGTTCCCTCAATTCCCCTGGTATTTTTCCAGAATAGTTCATGTTCTCAATGTCAGTTGTGGATGTCGATAAAATGAATGTCTCAGAGTTAAATAGCCGAATCGAATTTACTATCAGCTGTAACTTTCGTTCCTGAAGTATTTCATTGATCTAAACATGAGTTTGAATTGATTTGTTAATTAAATATAAATCACCCATCTCTTTTCTTAGATAAATCCAATTCTGAAGGAGAAATTTAAGGACTACAATGCATCGTCCATTGCATTTAGGTAAGACCAGAGATTAGTCGAACTTTATTCAAATTTTGATTTGATTTTTTAAATCTCACTTGTAGACTTGCCATTGTATTATAACTTTTTTGTAATAATCTTATTTATAACTGTTTTCTTGTATCCAAAGCAAGCATATGCGTCCCCCCAAAAAATATACACTTTTGAAATGGCTGCCGAATAAAAAAATATATGATTCTGGGGGAAAAGTTTGATATGTATATAAAGCTCATAAACTCAACTTTCATATGACACCAAAAAGTCCGAAAATAATTCATGCTTGGGTGAGCACTGCTGACTTTTGTAAAGGATATGAAAATTAGATTGCGCAGGAATTAGCCTTCCAATTTGTGAGAGGTAAATCCTTTGGAGCTTACACAATTGTGGGTGATATGATACATTCATGATTTGCTGAGTGAATTTCATGGTTTATTAAACCAAACTTTTATGCATGAGCGAACAGGAATTGCATTTTTATTGTAGCATTGTAACTTTCCCTGGTAGACTCTAGTGGTGTGTTCATTGGAGTCAGGATGGGGGGGGGGGGGGGATAGTACATGTTGTAATTTCCATGTTACAAACTATTATTTTTTACATCTGTGACTTTGAATAAAAACCTTCACCCCACATTTCAGTTATTGTAAGATTATTTGAACATCTCATGGATTTACTTAATAACCAGATGAGGATTATGTAAATTGATTATTCAAATACGGTTTGTTGAAAAAAGGAATGTCACAGATGTTGGCTACTTATTCTTCAGGTAACCCATTTACCTCAATGCCGTAAGCTCCAAAGGACTTACCTCTTACAAATTCCTGCGTAACCTAATTTTCTTACCCTTTACAAAAGTTAGCAATGCTCACCCAAGCATGAATTATTTTCGGACTTTTTGGTGTCATATGAAAGTTGAGTTTATGAGCTTTCCATACATATCAAACTTTTTCTCTTAGAATCATGTTTTTTTTTTTTCGGCAGCCATTTCAAAAGTGTATAGTTTTTTTTGGGGACGCACGGTTTTGTAGTAAATATTTATTTTTACATGGTTTGCAAATCAACTATACACCTCCAAGATTCCCACCTTACTCCTCTCTCTTACTCTCTTTTGCAGTTCGGGTAGTCTCATAGCGAATGTGAAACTGGACTTTAGTTTGCGGATTACGGTAGAAGAAAGACGAGAAGTGATCAAGGTGTTCTACGAGATGGTTGAGCGGAATAATACCCTTGGAAGCCTTCGTGTTGAAAAGCTTTATGTTTTGAATGTAAAAGGTAGGCTTATTTCTGTTATTTTGTTAAAGCAAATTTTGTATTATTTGCTTACAGACAAAATGTGTCCTCTTTTCACTTTGGGAGAAGAGTGAAAAAGGAGAGTTGTTGTTGGGTTTGTTGGCGCTATATCCACCGATTTCGATGATTTCCGCCAGGCTTGGTGTGATTATGCGTCTTGCTCTCACTTCTGCTGCTCTACGTTTCTGTCATTCTGATACTCGCCCAGTCTGTGAGATAAAGATTTACCTTGACCTTTGTTATTGGTGTAGTGCAAGGTTATGGAAGAAATCACACAAGCTTTGGTAATAAGGCAAAATTTGAAAAATATAATATATATGGATGCAGTAAAATAAAAGGTAGTGAGTGTTCGAGAGACAGTTTAACAGACTGTCATGGAGAGAGAACTCGGTCACATGCTGATGGGAGACTAGGGGAGAGAGAGATGGGGTCAGTATAAGTGTGAAGTTAAGTTTGATATAGGAATACACTTCCTAAGCTAAATGAAAATTTTGAAACAAAAAAGGGGGCATTTGAATGACGCGAATATGCAACTTAAATTTCTCTGAAGTAAATAAAAAGAACAAGTCATTTTAAAATGTATGAAAATGTAGTTGTGATCGTTTCCTTATTTTGATCTATATTATTTTATTTTGTTCAAGGATCGTACGATAGGATTGATGATGCCTGTCATATCACCCGTTGTCCATCCGGAATGACATGCTTCACTGACGGGAATGATTGTACATCTGTATGTAGCACTAATCAGCACTACTGTCACCATGGAACATGTGAGAAGGATGCTAAACGGTCTTCATTCATCACGTGCCAGTAAGAGAATCGAATTATGGGCATCGTTTCACAAAACCGTCACAAGTACAAGTACAAGTACAAGTACAAGTTCACCGACATCACATTGAAACGCGTGTTAATATACAATAAATTAGTACTTTTTAAAGACGGTTTTTTGAAACGTTGCCCTGGTGGTGAAACCTAGAGAAGAGGAGCAGGGGGAGCAGGGGGTGGAGCGGGGAGGGGGAGGGGGGGGGGCAATGGTTCCCCATGGGCACATTCGTTGGTGCTATAGAATTTTCTGGTTTTGTTATATTCACACTCGATGGCCTTTTTATTTATCCCCTCCCCTTCAAACTTACCCATGATTCACCCTTTCAATCGTTAATCCATGCACCCCTTCTCGGCGGTTCCCGGATTCTGTAAAGAACAGGGGTATAATGATGAAAACAAACCTCTGACGAGCAAATATATTATGTATTTAGGAATGCAAGATTAAATTCATGAAATTATGCTTTGCACTGGTGGATTCAAGATTCTCTGCATGGCAGGGGAGGGGGGGGGGGGCGCACAAGTCCGAGAATTATGTGACATTCAAAGAAAGAAAAGAAATTTGATGCAAAATGGCGAAATTATTGATTCATGCAATCTAATCGTGCGTTGGAAACCGGTGAAGACGAATTGATTAACTTTGACGAAAATGGATTCATAAATTATGATGATGAAAACGATTTGACAAAGTTCGAAAATGAAGTACCAAAAACAAATCTAACCACGAGATCTAGAAGATCATGAAGTTTCGGGATGAAATAGAATGAAAAGTGTATGACAATGAATGAATGAAAGGATGGGAGAACCTATAGATTACATACGTGGAGGTACTTTTTTACGGTTTTACTAAGGGGAAGATTCGAACCGATAAATTGAAAGTTGGAAGTACAATCAATGAGTAGATCATACTTGTTCAGTTTTTAGTCAAATTATCAAAGTTACATACTTTGTACCAATACATGCTTTACCAAGGTATCCTAAAATTAATAATGCCATTACAACATTGTCTTTTTATATTATGTCTATACAGTTGTGAAGAAGGTTACACCGGCGGAAGATGTGACAAAGAGATACGCGATGAGAGCGAGGGTAAACGTATGGATGCACTTTCATTGTTTTGTAGTTCACCTTATAATTTTGTTATGTTTTTTTACATCTCTATCTGCTTGTTTTACATTCAATCATGATTTTGTCAAAGTGGTTTTCTTTTCAATTTCATTTGTTAAGCATTCATATTTATTATTTTCTACTCACCCGTAATTTTGTTCATTGTGTGTGTGTTCGTCATATGTTATATCACACGATTATAGAATCTGCACTTACACGTTCATCTTATTTTTGTCACACTTTTCATATAAATGTGTTTGTCTGTTTGTTTGTTGTGCTGGTATTAACGCTGTAACTACTCATTTGCATTAAATTAACTGAAATGGGAATTACTATTTCTTGCATGCCTGAATCGTTGTCCCTTGAATATTGCTTAAACGCAAAATAGTAACGTATTCTGGTTTATGACAAATTATCGCCGTTTCATGAATTAAAATGCCATTTGATTTTTCTATCGATTTCATATTTGTAGAAGTTAATTACAAAGCTAGTCATTGTATATTCTTCCTGAGCTAAACACATCATGAATGATTCATAACTTTTGCTCCATATTTCTTGTTTTTCTCCAGCTGATCTTTATGTAGGGATCATCGCAGCGAGTGTGATAGCATGTATCATCGTTCTGGCTATCCTTCTAGGAACCTGTATCAACCTCTTCAATAAGAGACGCATTAGAACTGGAAGGTATGGTATATACAGGGTTACCTGGACCATGGGGGAAATTAGAGAGATTTGTTTTAATTAATTAAAGCATGGAAAACTGGCAGAAGTTATTTATATTCCTGTAAGGATACTTAGCCATCCGTATTTCATGCAGCTTGTTTAACTACACCGTTGATATCTCACCGAATAGAGAAGAGTTTCTGGTTAGGTGGAAAATCAGTTTACAAATTTCACTTTAATTGGTATCATCCTTGTAAATCCTTGTAAAGTGCATTAAATACGAAGAGAGAGAGAGAAGGAAAAAAAAGAACATACATGGAAACTCAAGATTTGAGTTATTAAAGGAGATAAAATGGATCATTCATTGACAGAATATATTTCTCTTTTAAGAAGAATTTGTTATGAACGCAACAATAGCTTTGCAGGAACATTATTGAGGAATCGGCAACGTATGGCAATATAAAGATCAATTTCCTTAACGTTATCAAAACTGTTTTTGAAAATATGCAGAATACTTTTAATAGAGTTTCTTAGTTAATATAAAAACATCATTTATCAAAAAGAATTACTATAAAACCAGAACTTGGAATTGCGGGCATGGTCGAGTTTTGCAACAGTTTCGAAAAGCTCCGCAAAAACGCCCGTTATCAATAATTCGCAAAAGATCATGTCGCGAAAGTTTCTTGGTTTCTCTAAAAAAAAAGTTACAAAAAAGTAAATTACGTTATTCTTTACCAGATTTATTATATTTTTACTAGATCTGAAGAGCTGTTCGGCATCGAGAACGTGGTAGCTTTAGAGCTGATGGACGAGAAGTCGCATCTGGGCGGCATGGCAACCCAGACTGACGAGAGCTTCTTACTCGCCCGTTCGCACAAAGATGGTGTCGCCCCCAAGGCCGGCCACGCCCACAAAATCATGCAGACTACCGACTCTTTCCTGTTGTCCAAGGCGCAGCTGCTAAGAGCACATGGTGGTTCGGCGACACGCTACAGAGGGGCGGGGTCTCCAGTGGGCGTGGTCAGTGGGAACACACGCCGCCTGAGTGATCGACCATCGGAGAGTAAGATGACTGGTGCCGATGCCACGCCCAGCACCAGCGGTGCCGGAGGTTCGTTTATGTGCAACTAAATATCGCTTGTCTTCCTTTTATTACATGCAAGGAACATGTACATAATCTGTAAGGCGATATTTGTTGACAAACATTACTAGTAAATACAGATATCCGTGGGAGACTACTGGGGAATACTTAAAATGTAAAGGCACTGTTTCTGAGATTAAGGAGTCGTTTTGGGTATTGAATTGACACTATAGTGTGTTTGCTTTATAGATTAACTAGATACATTTTGCATTTAAATTATCGTTGACGACTTTTGTTCGTGTTTTAATTGAATCTTAGTATTGCAGTTGTTCACCTTTTACTCACCATATATAACATTATTGTTGAAAATTGTTGTACACTTTAGGAACTCATGATCGTCATTTAGTTATGATGAATTATGTCCACGATTCCTACGTTTACGGAGATTATTACCACACCATTTAATGACGATAGTTTTATATTTGTTATCTTTCAGCCAACGGTGTAGCGAGGAAGCCATCAACCAAGAAAGAGCGGGCTCCAGCCCCTCCTCAACAAAGCCCCACCTCCATCTCTCAACATGAAGAAGCCACGCCCTCCACCAGTAAAGTCGAAGACCTTCCCATTTCTTCAGAAGAAAGCGCGCCAAAGCTGGTGGATCCTCAAGTCGAAAAAGACGAGGGAAACATAGAGGTGCCTCCTCCCGAAAAGCCGATAAAATCGATCGACGGTGACGAAGTGATATCGGATGCTTATTCCGGAAGGAAGATACTCAAAGTTTAGCGGAATCACTTTTCATTTCTTGATTGATCTGATTTGAAACTTTATCCCGAGAACATGGACAATGATGTACTATTTTCATGGTTGTATTCTTCGCTGTACTATGTATGCCTCAGTCACACCGCCGAACCGGCTCCAGACCGACTCCGAACCGTCTTGTTTTTTGCCATAGGAGTAATGTAATTTTATGGGTCGGTCTTGTCGATGTGACTCGGGTATAAGCCTTCATTCTTGTCCGTGAAACCGATGAATTCCGTGAAAGTCCGTCCGAAGACGAGCCAAAGTGTCCGACCTCTCCAGACGATGAGGTGTAGCAGTACTCCCTCCCCCTTAAATCCAGAACTGACAAACGCTTCTGTCAAATTGCCATTCCACCATGCCATGTCATTTTAGGGGGTATATTATAATGATGAGCACAGATAGAAGTTTAAACATGGAACACTCAATATGCTTCTGTAGATACATTTTGTAGGCAGGAGCGTGCTGCACGACTCTCGCCCGAACATTGGCTTTCATGTATCGTTACGTGAGAGCGCGAATCAAGCCCCCGCCTTGTAAACCTATTTTATTACTTCGATGTTGTGTTTTTTCCAAGCGGATTATGTACCCGATAGCTAACTTTACAAAACATAGCAATGTTACTTATATCACCTTTGACCTGTCGTCTTGTGTATGGAATGGTGTGAGATCATTAAGTTATCATAACTTATGAAAGTATTTTAAGAACTTATTCCTTGAAGGCTTGAATAATTATAGTTTATGCTTGAATAAAAACATATTCAGATGCTGGACATGTCAGTTCATGATTGCATGTGGATTTTAAGTCTTCCGGATATACCGTTCCTCTAAACTTTATCCAAGTATGCGAGTATTATCGTAATCAGAAACCACACTTAAATGATACAATTTTTATTTTCCAAACCATTTATATGTATAAGTATATTGTAATAGCCTAGTTTATGAAGCTGTAGGTGTTATATCATTTTCTATTCAGCTATTGTGTGTGTAAAATTTGATATCGTTATATATAGGCCTACGCATGTTTTTTTTTTTCTATCTATGGCTGTCCAGTTAATTTCAGTAAATAGTATTGTATACATCTATACTATTTATTGTTTGTAGTTAAGCCTTTGTGTTTGTAGATAATGTATCCCTTTGTAGAACCATGTGCCAAAATTATGTATTCATTCAGTGTTATCTTTCCATAATGAAACATGTATTTTTTATACTTTTGAAAATATTGCTTGAACCTTGTCAATATTATGCTTATGTGTACAAGATTGTTGTACTTTTTGTAAATAATTGATATGGATTTTACATTAATCATGGAAAAGATGATGTGGATATAAATCAAATGGCCAATCTGCATTTTTCTTGTGAAAAATGATTTTGTAATTTCAGGAAATAGTGGATCATTGCATTGCAGTGTAGAATCTTAATAGTTATAGAATTAGACATGTTGCCAGAACAAACAGTAATAGTATGAAAAGATGTTTATCATTAGACGTTACATGGTTGAGAATATGAGTTATTTTCGCATATTCCAGTAGAATGGTATTCCGATGATTGAAATAAACAGTTTCGTAATAGATCTAGAGAGCGAGTTGATCACTGCTAATCATTTGCCCTATCCTCGCATTGTTTAACCAATAGATGGCGCAATACATCAGCATTATGTTTTCGAGCTCTTAGTCATGGGTTCACGTTTCATGTTAGAAATTAGGGCAAGTATTTGTAGCTGAGGTTATTAGTTTGCTAGATTTCCAACTAATATATCATCTCCTGTTTATGTGTAAGAGGATTTAGAAAGCACATTGAAAATAAAGAGAATGATGGAAACTATAACAATATTCATACGGACTAATTAAAAAAAAAAATCTGACCTCCTGCTAGGTTCAAAAGTCTTATTATTTCGGACTACCAGAAAAAAATGTCTTGGTTTATTGTCGTTTTATTTTTGGAATCAAATATTCGTATAAATTTGAGTGATTTCACCTGTAAATTGCTGTTGTAATTCATCGAATTTGAAAGTCTTAGGAGGGCAGATTATGTAGATGTAGCCTATGCCTTCTTACCTTAGTGACAGTTGCCCTCTTTGCCCCACACGCCGCTAGTAAAAATAAAATGTATTTAGATTTTTTATGAGTTCATTCGCTAAATGTCAATTTAACGTTGACAATATGCTAATTGTGTTCGATGACGATCATAACGTATTGTCTATGCGCGGTGAAAAGGAAAATAAAGCTTGTTTTTTATGAAATTGCTAAGTTTGGTGTCTGACGAGTTTTGTTGTTGGTGTGAATGTGTTGTTTAGTTTAATATCCTTGATTTATATATAGGCCTATCATCAATCATCGAGGTAACTATTTCGAAAGAAAAAATATCAAGGTCTTTTAATTAAGATGTAGGTATGGTATTCGTTTTTTATCTGTGTATTCTCGTAAAAACAGTGAATTTAACTTTAAAAGCAAGAAAATGAATAGCAAGATAATAATAATTGGATAAAAAGATGAATGGAATGTATGAATAAAAACACTTTTATTCTAATGTAGTCTAATGTAATCTAATTATTCTAATTCATCGGAGCAAATTGAAACTCCCCCAACTATAAACCTTTAAGAGCACCTGACATACGAATGCAGCTGAAACTTTTAAATTGTGCCGTTTTGTTCTGCCGATAAACATTATTGACCCAAAACAAGGCCAAACCAAAATGAAAGCTGCCAAAAAGAAAAATCATTAATAATTGTTGTTTACAGTGTACAAATTAACATAATCTCCTGTCACTTGTTATTTCCGTTTTTCAAACCACATATTATTGAGCCATGGAGATAATTATATGTGTCTTACGATGCTGGAACTGTCACTCATCGTACTAAGCATCTTACCTATAGCCCCATGGCGTTATTGATGTTTGTGACGGATCACAAGGAGAGGCCTCTTAAAGCCCCCATTATAGGATCGATCTTTCACCCCTGGTATTCAGCCCTAATTAATTGATTGCCTTTATTTGCCGTCAAGTTGAGCCCACCTCTTAAACACCTGACGAAATCTTTACAGTCCGTTTCACTGCTGACAATTTTGTGGTTTCCGTCTTCCGTACTTTCTAACGACAATGGGAAGCAAAGTCTGTTTACAATGGAGCACCCGCCATTGGTAAAATTTAGAAGGTAAGGGGGTATGGTCCAAAGGCAATTCAGATGTACAATTTCAAGAAAGGGCACTTTTGGAGGGCACTTCTGTTGATTTGCTCCCCTTTCAAAGATCGTATCATGACTAACTCATGTACAACAATTTCGACAAATATAAAGCGACCTTCCATATTATACACGAATATCCAAATATCCTAACTTTAAAGATTGCAGCCAACATCAAATTCTGTAAAACTTTGCAGGAATTATGAATATGTCATGTATGTCCTATCTGTGAAATTTAAACGTTAGCAGTGTCCTAATTTTCAAATTATGCAAGGAAAGTTTCACCCGTTTACTTGCTAGACTTCACTGCCAGACACTATTAAGTGCATGACTGACTGTTTTTTCTTCTTTGGTAATAACATACCGATACATAAAATGAGCTGTAAAGGGTACATGAGCATTTGTCTACATCAATAACCCACTTCTTTTATTGATGGCCAAAATTAAACGGATTGAATCTTTGCGCATAAAACGTATACCATTCGGTACAATGGTCTGAAAATTATTTTCCCACTTAAAGACATTTCCAAGCCCCCCCCCCCTTTTTTTTTTAAAGGGTAGTTCTAAATTAGTATTATCTTTCAAATGCTGTTGGAAAATAACGCTTTCATTTTTAGGCCTGCAAATGGGACATAGTACCTTTAAAACAGAGAGATTGAATAACGTGTTTTGAATACATTTCTCTTCTTCAAAATTGAAACAACTTACGCCATGGAACTACATCAAAATTGAGGCGGTAAAACCACGCTGTACAAGCAGGCAACAGTTCAAACCATACACCTGTTCGTCGCTAGACAAAGTGCCGCCATAACAAAACTAAATAGAGAATGATTCAGTACACTATATAGAGCCTATATTGTGCCTGTCATATTCTAATCGCACAACACACCGGTCCCCTTCTTCACAGATACCCAAGCTAAGAAAATCGATATCATTTTGTCAATTCTTGTAGAAAATAAATATTAGTGACACTGACAGACATGTACGTCTTTAAGAGTCATTAGAACTAGTTATCTAGGAATTATCACTATACACAACGTCACCAACACTAAAACTGCTTCAAGTCCATGGTTCCTGTTGCTATGCTAAGTACAAAAGTTGTTGAGTTTGAGTTTATGTTACAAAAATAGATCTGATAATATTCATTACAACTTTTAAGTGTAGAATACAAGAATGGAAGTTTTGAATAGAACTAGTTTTTAAATCATAACTTTAACGTATATTTTTATTATAATATAATGTTAGTAAATTATTTAGTTTTTGTCTGTGCAGGTCTCTTTTTTAACATCACATTATAATGATCTATATTCACATTTCAATGCCTTTTACATCGTTAGTTAAACTTTCATTTACTTGTATTATTCAAACAAAAAACAAAGAATCAAAACAACACAGAAATGTTAGAATTTTTTGATAAGGTGAATATTTTGATGATAGGCATATTTACAGAAAATATATAAGCTACAGCTGTACATCCACCAGTCGAACATTAACATCATTAATTTGGATGAAAATACGAGAATCGAGAATGAGGTGGGTGCGAAATTGGTTTTGTGTTTGCCTTATCACACTTCCTTCTTATCAGTATTATATAAACTTGCATCTTTCTATATATTTTAATGTAACAATATGATATTTGTAATATAATTTATATATCATTATATAGCTACAAAATATATATAATTTATCTATATATCTATCTAATTATCTAATTTATCTATCTATTAGTCTATATAATTTATCTTTCTATCTATCTCATCTATCTAGCTATTTATTTATCTATTAATATATCTATCTAATCTATCTACCTAACTAATCAGTATAGCTATCCATCTTATCTATATCAATCTATTTAATGTATCTATCTATCTATCTATCTAACTTATCTTTCTATCTAAATATATCTATAATATCTATCTATATAATCTATCTAATCTATCTATATATCTATATTTCTATCTAACCTATCTATCTATTTTAATCCATATATCCAATGTAACCTACAATATATATCTATCTATAAATCAATCTATCTAATCTATGTATCTATGTAATCTATATTATCTATCTAATGTTGGTACATTAATGTTTATCCTATTGTACGTAATTTCTGTATTATCTCTAGACTCCGTTTTTTCTTCTTCTTGATTTCTCTTATCTAATTTGTATATGTTTGCCGCATTATAAGAACAAAAACATTAAATGTATTAATAGAAGCAGAATGAAATCTCACTTTCCGCATTTTGTATCAAATACATGTACCAATAGCTTTTCCAAACGAATAACATTTGAAATGTTAAGCGGATCTTAATATACAAACATATCTATCAAGCTAATTCATAATAAAGTTTACACGAAGCTTACGCTTTTTTGTATGCCTAATACATGAGCTAAAATAAAATAAGTTCAATTCTGAATAGCAATTATCACAACGCAATAATTTAACATAATAAAGAAAACCTCAAACATGAGCTGAAAAAATCTGGGTAATTTATTTTTAGACAGTTAGAGAGACTGAAATAGAAGTGGCATTAAATATAACGGGATTTGGACAATAAAAACATGTGCAAATAGACGAAGGAAATTGCGGTGTTCTGAGAAATGAAGAGAATGAGCCTTCATTGTCTATAACATTGTGCCATCCCTGACAACGCGTTATCTGGAGGCGAGCAGATAGACGTAACAACCAACACCATTCATTACAATGAGAGTGAGAGAGAGAGAGAGAGAGAGAGAGAGAGAGAGAGAGAGAGAGAGAGAAGGAAAAAAAAGCGCCAAATCTCACCGTGGAAGGGGACATACGCTAAAGGGTTCTATCGTAAAGATCTGACCACTGACACTTGGCAAACATTGGCTGGAGGGGACTGGTCATTGGTCGGACATCAGCCAATATTAATGGACAATGCATTGGTGAGTTAGAATGAAGCCAGAGGTGGATATCTGAAGTGCTCTCTTCTTCTTTCCGTCGTCGAATCGCCGAACAATAGAAACGGGTAAAGATGCTACCGTGCCCAACTTTGTAAAGAGTTTTCTATTATCAGTCATTGTTTGCTTGGGACGAGGTGTAAATGGACGGGACTTTGGGAGGGCTGGCATAAAAGAGCGCGAGACGGGGCAACAGGTAACACTTT